CGGTTTCGAGGCCGGTCTTGGCCTCGAGACCGGCCTCGAGACCGTTTTCCTTGGTCTCGGTCTCGGTCTTGGCCTCGGAGTGCAATGACTCGGACTCGGACTCGAACTCGAGCCCTCCGGACTCGAGGACTCGGGTCGAGGCCGGCTCGAGGCCACTACATATACATAGTACACAACTGTACATATTGTAACACGCAGTTTACAAGAATTTAAAACTAAAACTCCTAGGTTTTCTAGATACACGGCCTAATCTTGTAATGTTTTCAATGGTTCGATTAAGATTCTTGTCCCTTTGGTTTGAATCTGCTGTCACTTCGTCCCTTTGCGCTTTTTTACCACTTCTGTTTCTTCTTCTACCACTTCGAAGGTACTAGCACTCTCTCATTTGGTTCAACAAGCCGTGTCATTCTCGTAAAACACAAATGGATCCGTTACTTTGACACGTTTCGTATGACTCGTGTCTCTGTGTTTTCGGCTGACTATAGTATACACTTTCGAATGTCTACGATGCACTGTTGCACTGTTGCGATTTTTTTCCTTTTTTTCCTTTTTCCCGATTTTTTCCCTTTTTTCCCGATTTTTTCCGTTTTTCCGATTTTTTCCGTTATTTTTTAATCAAAACTGGACTCGGACTCGGACTCGGACTCGGGTGGTGCGGACTCGGACTCGGACTCGGACTCGGACTCGGGTGGCACGGACTCGGTCTAGGACTCGGACTCGGGGGGTGCGGACTCGGACTCGGACTCGGACTCGGGGGGTGCGGTCTCGACTACAACACTGACGTTCATGTGCTTGTGTGGGCACGCACACACGCGCATGAACGTACGCACGCGCGTGTGTGCGCGTGTGTGTGACACAGACTGACGATTCTGGTCAGCTCTCCAGATAATTACATTGTCATTCGCGCTTTCTGTAACTATAAGAGATTGTACTGCATAGCTTTTAGATGGCATACAACAACAGTAGCCTTCCGCCAATTATTCACCATTTCACTATTTCGTCTCTGGAGAAGGCCTTCCTTTGCAGTAATATTTGGCACTATAGTGCACTAATTTGCATTATGCACGCAAGGTAGATGCCTCGTGGACGTCTAGAAGGCGTCAAGTGGGGTAGCCATGGTGACCGGTCGGCCATTTTTGTGTTTGAAACGGGAATCCGACTACTTTCTAGAAATGCGCATCATTTAGCTAGCAAAAGTTTCGAGCGGAGTATAGAGCTTGAATCGGTAGTTATTTAGCACGAATAAAGTGTATGTTGTGTATGCGACGAAACACTGCGAGTATTTTTACTTAATTTCTATTCGATGCCGATTGAGGCCTGTTGCCTACGGATGCCCTCTACTGTTGTACAACACCTTTTGCACACGCGCGCATTGCACCACGCTTGCACATATCCCACACACGACCATATCTCCTGCCATACGGGTTTCTTATTTGCGAAGCGTATCGCATGCTATAACCTAGTATACTAGAGCTATAACCCACCTAACTCGTGTGGCAACTCGTGACAAAACACTGCCAGTGTCGTGCTCATGCCTCCAGCGATGTCGTTGGCAAAGGCAGCACCTGCAAACAGGTAAACCAAATATCGGTGTAAATATTATGTCTGTACCTACTATCGGCAACTGTTTGAGGTCAAACGTTTACCCTTGACGGTTCACCGCGCATCATCGGTCGATATCCGCTCAAAGACATGGCGTCGCGGAATACAGTTTGTTTATTTTACCGATTATACAGTTTGTTTGTCTGATTAGAAATCCTAGCGTAAATGTTGCGTAAAGGTTTGCGTAAATAGTTGTATCAAGTTCACTGACATGACAAACGTCTGTAATTTACGGTAGTTATTAATATAATTTTACTATACATAAATCATATCCAATTTAAAATGTCATAAACATAATGCGACAAGGAGAGCCACCAGAACGATATTCTGACAATGAATTTCGATTAAAATTCGAATGAAATGTATAAAAAACTTTAATGTAGACGCACAGGAACACATCCACGCATACGGGCACACGCGCGGACACACACACACGTTCGCACATGCACGTGTACACACGTACGCACGCACAGGTACGCACACACACACGCGCACGCACGCACAGGCACACACAAGCATACACGCACGCACTTACACTCTCTTTTCCCAGACACACATGCACGAACACCCGCACGTACGCATGCACGCACAGGCACGCACGCACGCACGCACGCACGCACGCACGCACCTATGGCCATCCCGTCGCTGAAGTTGTGCAGTCCGTCTCCCATGATGACCATCAAGGCAACCGACGACACAGACGTCGGCATCTAACAGACATACACACACACACTTGTCTCTTTGGACAATGTTTTTACGTTATACATACTACTGTTGTAATTATTAGCCCCCTGTACACATCAGCCCGTAAATGAGTGCAGAAGCAATATATCATATCGTCGCAGAGCCATCGAGTATCGAGTTGAGTTGTCATTTGATAACGACCCACCTCATTTGCACTCCTCTTCAACATTCTTGCTTTTAACAATTATTATTATAATTATTAATTGTCACCGGATAATAGCAAGCTTCTATCCTGACGCCCTACACTCTTTGTTCTATGTCACTCTTGTCATATTGCTCTTTCTTTACAGGACTATTGCATTGTGCTACTGTATTGTACTATTGTAGACATACTATTTCCTACTACTGTATAGCAGTCAGTTCGTGTTATATGAACTTTATCGTTACCGCCTGTGCGTGTTGGAGTGGACTTTTCCTAGGAAATGTTTGTCGTTTATGATTTATATTTTACCTAATATTAATTTCTAATAAAAAACTAATTGTTTCGAGTTTCAATCGACTTATTTCGTTATTCAATGATTTTCATGTTCGTTGGTACACACGTGTATTGACGTGAGCAGCGAATGATGGTTTGATATACAAAGTTCATTTATTACATCGTTACATTATTCATGGTTCGCACAGTCCTTGAAAGTCCTTGAATTTGAGGGGAGTCGTTCCTCAAAGGGAAAAGTACTTGAATTTAGTAAATGTTGATTTTTTGCTTGAAAAGTCCTTGAATTTCATGAAAATGTCCTTGAATTTTTAGAAAGAATCCTTGCCTGTAATAAAATGAAATTTTGTACCATCAATAATGTGCAAACCTAAATAAAAATTTCGTTAAATTCGCTTAAAAAGCTATAGACACAATAGACAGTTAAATGATGATCACAAATTACAGTAAGTCAGTAAAATCGGTCAGTAAATCAAGGTATGTTGTAGAAGTGACAGTGTTTAGAAGGGTTTATTAATGTGATCCAGGTAAGTTTTAGAGGTGACAGTGATTAAGAATTGGGTTATTAAATTAATCCAGGTATGTTTTGTTCTGTGTATGAATTCCGATAAAATGTCCTTGAAAAGTCCTTGAAACATTTTTCAGTCCTGTATGAACCATGTTATTACACCTGTGTAAACAGTATAGATAACCACAGGTACGGGTAATCTCATAGTCGTAATACTGGAAATACCAACAGTGAAAATGCACTCAATTCATAGAATTATTTTTATCTAATTATTTTATCCAATAGAAGTCTGAACATGAATGAGATCTCATTGTGTGAACATTAAGTCGTACATAAACGTATATACGTGTTGAAACATAATTTCCGTTTCGTGCGAATAACGATACATTGTACATGCAGAGTTAGTAAGTATGTGTAAGGCAAGTCATTACAATAATTAACGAACAATGTACAGTGGATAACTATATACTCGTTATTCTTCTCTCTCTCTCTCTCTTTCTCTCTCTCTCTCTCTCTCTCTCTCTCTCTCTCTCTCTCTCTCTCTCTCTCGCCTCTCATCTCACATATGATGTAATTTGTGTAATGATGTACATCAGTACATCATTACACAAATATCCATCATTACGCAAACAAACATCATTACACAATATCCATCATTACGTCAAACAATGTCATTACACAAACGTACATCATTACACAAATATCCATCATTACACAAACAAATGTCATTATACGAACGTACATCATTACAAAATCGTACATCATTACACAAATATTCATTATTACATAAACAAATGTCATTAAACGAACGCGTACATCATTACAAAAACGTACATCATTACACAAACGTACGTCATTACACAAATATCCATCATTACGCAAATATCCATCATTACATAAACTCCTAACTATCAGACGACAGGGTGCAGTGTCCTGAATCCATTCACCCAACTCAAGGGCTCACAACTTGTTTGCTCACTCGCAGTAGCACTAATTGACGCCATATATTTATGTTTACGACGCGTCAGAGAATTCAGCCGCGTTGTACTGGTATTGGTATCTGTCTTGGTATTGCGTAGAAACTGGTTAACCGATTAATCATTCTCTCTCTCTCTCTCTCTCTCTCTCTCTCTCCTCTCTCTCTCTCTCTCTCTCTCTTCTCTCTCTCTCTCTCTCTCTCCCTTTTCTCTCTTTCTCTCCCTCTCTCTCCCTCTCCATATATATATATATATATATATATATACCTACCTACCTACATACATACATACCTCCCTACCTACCTACCTATCTACCTACCTATATATATCTATATATATATTCCTCTCTCTAGCTATCTATCTATTTCTCTCGCTCTTTCCCTCTTTCCCCGTTCCTCTCTCTCTCTCTTTCTCGCCATCTCTCGCTTTCTCTCTCTCTCTTTCTCTCTCTCTTTCTCTCTCTCTCACTCATCCTCTCTCTCTCTCTCTCTCTCTCTCTCTCTCTCTCTCGCCACCTCTATCTCTATTGCTGTCACCCTCTAGCCATTGACATGCTTATGCAATGCTTCGCTGACGACGCACGCGTACGCTCATACGCACGCACGTATGCACGCACGCACGTACGCACGCACGCACGTACACACGCACACGCAATTCTGGGTTAATTAACTAACACCGCACTTGAGCGGTTCACACGCGTGTATGCTGAGTTTTCCTATATATACATACATCACAGACAAGCGACTTCTCCGACTAAATGCACTCTGATAATTATCTAACTGAATTCTACGCAGTTTCAAGGCGTCAACTTTTCTACCGTACGTCATTTGCTCGCCGAATTTCTGTGTACGTGCCACCACGGCCACTGCCGCGGACACTGTACGCAGTTTTCACGTGTTAGATGGCCAGTTTTAAACAGCCAGAGGCTGTGACGATATATTTGCGTCAATACTCCGGTCCGCGCGGCCTTCGCTCATCGCTCTCATGTCGTTGTCACTTACACTCAGCGCGATCAAAGATGGCCGCGGTGGCGTGACATGATATATATATAGCCTTGTGTTTCGTCTACGTTCCTCGAGCGCCGAGCTTTAACGTAAGCCGTACTATCAAGCTCTCTCTCTCTCTTCCAATCCAACTCTATCTCTCTCTCTCGCTCTCGCGCGCTCTCTCTCTCTCTCTCTTTCTCTCTCTCTCTCTCTTTCTCTCTCCTCTCTCTCTTACTCTCTCGCTCTTCTCTCTTTCTCTCTCTAATCTCTCCAGCCTCTCTCGCACCCTTCTGTCGCTCCTCTCCCCCTGTTCTCCTCCTCTCTCGCCCTTCTCTTCTCCTCCTCCTCTCTCTA